TGGTGACGCACACCTTCTTTTCATCGGAAAATATGTTGTCGTCGCCGACTGCGACAGGCTTTTGATCTCTTCTCCTCGCTCTCTTTCTTTCTCCACCCCATAAATTGCCAGCATCCTGATGGTAGTGGTGGTGTTTGAGGAGGAGCGTCATTTCTTGCTTAAACTCCCTCACCTCTGATTCAAAACTCTGCGTGCTCCTCAAAACGCCCATCCCCTATCCTCTTCTCTCTCTCTCTCTCTCTCTCTCCACCTCCGCCCCCCCCCCCCCAAAACAGAATGTTTGTGTATTTGGTTGGTTGTTTGGATGAATATATATACACGTATCTAAGTGTGTGATATGGCAACTGTGGAATGGAACTAATCCTTGATCGTGGAAGATAACTATTCCACAAACAAAGTAAAGTTCAATTCACACATATAATACACATTTTTTTAAAAGGATGGTTGGATGACCCACGGCGTTGAAAACATCCTTTAATTAGGGTCAGTTTCACAAATGATCAAGAAAACACTAGAGGCACACCCTTGGACATAATCCCAACCACACCCCCTCACCTGCTACAGTGCAGGGGGGCCTCACATGGAATTTTGTTTAAAAATCTCATGTAGGGCCTCCTGCACTATAACAGGTGAGGGGGTGTGGTTGGGATTGTGCCCAATGGTGTGCCTCTAGTGCCACTCCAAATGATCTACCAGCTTTGGAGGGCTTTGAGAATCAAATTTTTTTTTTAACCTTGTATGTATAACCCCCTTCAACTTTTGGGTGTCTCACGACCCTCCGAACTTTAAACTTTTTTCACTGGATTTTCCTATTGTAATTTGCAAATAATTAAAATATCCTTTTAGAAGTGAAAACCCTCAATTTGAGGGGAGGGAGGTTGGTTTCCTGTAAATGACAAATGACTAAATTAAAGATATTTTTTCTCTTAGACATCTTAGTTTTTTGCAAATAACGGATAGAATGGTTCTTTAGAAAGGGTCAAAGTTAAATGTCTATTGTCAAACACCCAAAGTCGAAGGGGGATTATACGAGATTAAAAAAGTTAAAAAAAGTAAATTTCACATAATCCCCTACTTCTTACCACATCTCGAACATGAAATTGACTATTTTTTTTCTTCTCTAAATAACATGTATACTCATTTGTTGTCCTTCATTTTGATAGAGAATAATCTATTCCACAAATAATTAAAGTATCATATACACATATCTTCTAAAAGTTTTGACGGTCAAATTATTAGGGGAAAAATCGGGTCCACTTTAGCGTTAATGAGCCTCA